AATCTTAGGCGAATATCCTCGTGAGGAAATTTGTACAAACACCTGATATGCCTGACAAGATGTTATCCTCTCATAATTGTTATTGGACAAGAGCATGCATTCAGAGAATAACAAGCAAGTTTCTTTTCAACCATATGGGTAATGCTTTGAAGAGAGGAACTTCTATTAGAAAGGTAATGAGTTTGATCTTATCTTCCTCCAGGACTGAACGTCACGGTACATCAATGGCAATTAAATACAAAGTCAAATCTGCACTATCACACAACATCCTGTAAATACATTAATAGACCTTAATAAGTATTTGAGATTAAAGAGGCAAGAGAGATTATGTCTTCCAGCAAAAAGATTGGAGACAAAAAATTTCTTTTATTTTCATGAGAGAGAATAAAATTAATAATTGTGTATTTAAAAAAATTAAAACTACTTGCCATGTAATATTTAATCTCAACCATTGGAAGTGGAGGAATCTAATGGTCTAAAAATTATGTCAAAATTTGTGTCAAAAACGTAGTGCCATGGATCCGCCCCTTATAAATAAATAAATAAATAAATAAATATATATGTATATATGGCAATTGAACTTCCTTTTAGGGATGGCCTTGAGGGTGTGCAAGTGGTGCTACCGTACATGGTCCCTGATTTTTGAAGGCCCCCGATTTTTTTTTTATGTGTATATATTAACAAATGTTATATATATACCGAGCGAGCAAATTTTTGACACGAAGACGTTTCTAGTTGTGTTGGTTTGTAGGGCCTCAACTTCTATTTAATGCGGGACTTCAAAACCTGCTTGTGTAGATAATAGTTTTAGTTCTTTTTCGGGTTTTTTTTAACAACAATTAATAATCATAATAAATAAATAAAAAAAGCAAGCACGTTATTTTTTGTAAGTAATAATCATCTTTCTTTGTCACTCAAAAGCAAATAGTCAGATTTAAATATGAATTCAAATAAAGTATGTATCTAAATTTTAATTTATAGATATACTAAATGACTTGCTTCATTATCATGTTGATTGGTTATATAATGAAAGATGATTTAATTTGTTATTTGTATGCTAATTGATGATGATTTTTACTTTAAGAAAATCTTGAGGCAATCTTGAGGATTTTTGCACAGTGCACCCAAGTTCGATTCACGTAAAAGACAATCTTGAGGCAACCCAATATAATACTCCCTCATTTCCCTCCCTATCGAATGACAAAAATAAAATAAAAAAGATCAAACTGCAAAAAGTAGTATAAAAATTATAGTTGAAAATGTACATGACTAGTAAAATTTCTTTAAGGAGCAAAGTCATATGCAAATGCGACTTAGCTAGTAGCAAAACCACCATAATGACAATAAGGGTAAAATTAAAATTTTGGTTTGTTTTTTTGAAACTGATTGTTTTCGTTGAAAGATGAAAACTGCTCTATGATCTGTCAATCACATAATGCTACAACCACTGTTTAAAGCAGCTTGTCTGATGTCAACACCAACATTCAATATCCCAGCTACTTTCACAACCGCATACTAAAATAATAAATACCCAATCACAAGGAATTAGTCAGTAATTATGTAGGCAAAGGTCATGCTCCCTATTCTTTAGTTAAAATTTAGCTAAAAACACACAAAAGTTATTTTAGGAACTCTATAAAATTTGAACTCCAATCATACTCCTTAAGTTAGAAAGTCATAAATACTATAGTTCTTTTTTATTCAATATGATTGGTTATCATCTCTATGAAAAAAAAAAATAATAGTTTTGTATTAATTAAAAGTTTAAACGATGCATAAAACGAAACAACATTAAATTATAAGGAGCCACTAGGAGTCCTTTCTCTCTCCTCAGATTTAGGAGTTCCTAGAGGTCTCTTTATTTAAGAAGGTGAATAGGGAGCATAGTGGGAGTTGTATTTTCCAGTTCCTTCCTAAAATTTGTCTAAGGAGGTGGTTTAGGGACCCCATTGTGGATGCTTTAAGTGCGAGTAATTATATTGTACGTAGTATGAAAGTATGTCACATGATATAACTCGTTCGTTAGAATATATATATATATATAAGTGGATATTTATGGATATTATATCATAAAAGTGATAAATATTAACCATATCGCCCATCCATATTATAACACGTGGATGTAGTAAAGCGTACGTACATGTGGGTTTTTGGCAAGTCATTAGACAGAAACAAGTTTACACACTTAAATCAGTCTCAACCACATGATTTCATTGAAATAGATCCAACGACTAAGCACCTTATTCCTCAAATGATGACACTGAATCTCTGAATTGCATGCATGCCACTATATATATGTTCTTCAACAAGAATATTCTAATTGCCCTAATAATATCTATGTTCCTATGTGCAGACATTGCTTGTCACGTGCGTACGTCCCCACCATTGATTTGACACTAGCTCTTCAATTACTCATGTAGAATTTTTTTTTTCAAGTGCCCATAGAGATAAGACTTCCATATATAGGGCTCATGTAACATTCCACATCGACCAATGGAAAGGGGGTGATGTGCCTCATATGTGCATGCCCACCTCCATCTACCACGAGGCTATTTTGAGAGCTTACTGACTTCGGAGTCAGGGGAACTTCGAAGTTAAGTGAGTTTAGGCTAGAGCAATCCCAGGATGGGTGACCCACTGAGAAGTTGCTCGTGAGTTCCCAGAAACAAAACTGCGAGGGCAAGGGGGTCCCAAAGAAGACAATATCGTGCTACGGCAGAGGCGATCCGGGTGTGATACCTCACCTTGATTAAAAATGTGGTTAGTAAACTGGTACACGATTGTTTTTATATATGCTTAGATATTCAATTTTGCAAAAATAATGCATCCAACTAAGTCGACCAAAAAAATTGCATCCAATAAATAATGTTCTTGGAATATTGATACAAAATAAATTAGTGTTAAAAAATATTTAATATTTGAATATGATCTATGATGACAAAGACTCATCGTCACAATGATGGTGATCACCTCGATTAAAAATGTGGTTAGTAAAGTGGTACACGATTGTTTTTATATATGCTCAGATATTCAATTTTGCAAAAATAATGCATCCAACTAAGTCGACCAAAAAAATTGCATCCAATAAATAATGTTCTTGGAATATTGATACAAAATAAATTAGTGTTAAAAAATATTTAATATTTGAATATGATCTATGATGACAAAGACTCATCGTCACAATCATGGTGATTATTCAAAGGGTGGAACATCCCTCACCCAATTTAATCAATTTAATCGAATTTAATTCTTTTGTGAAATTTCAATTTTGCCCTTGGGAGTAGGGGTAGTTTGGTCACTTGAAGAAAAAAAAAACATTTATTGTATGACATTACGTAATAGTGTAAGTTTGTGTTAGTTTATGCGAGGCCCCAGTTTAAGGTTCGCATAGGGCCTTCAAAATCAAGACAGGCCCTGCTTCCTTTGTACTGTAAAAAGAAGCACCAACAAGCAACAATAGCATATGGATTTTGAAACGAAAAGCAGAAAGCATAAGAAAATGCAATTGGTGTCTAGTGAGGAAAGTTGTCAATCCTTGCACGCAAAAAGTTGTTTCCCGCATAATGCTTGAGGGGGCATTTGTTGAAACGAAAAAAAAAAAAAAAAAAAAAAAGAAGAAGAAGATGGCCGCACACATTGAAATTCCTATAAAATAAGATAACACCAATATTCCAGCTATGGGAGCGCTTGTTCAAATAGAATTACAATTCTTTGCCTATAGGTTATTTGTATGAATAGTTTTTAAAAATTGTCAATATAATGGCAGGTGAATTAGTAGAATTTGAAGCTAAAGTGTTTGTGTCAAACACTGAGGCCAATGAGTGATTATTCATTTAATCTCAAACTCTTCAAAATTAAGGGCCTATAAAAATAGGTACATGGCTGGGAGAAAGTGGGGAGGCTATGGAGAGATACAAAAATAAAAAAAGGAAGCTGCAAGGCCTTGGGGAAGAATGGAGCACATCTGTGTTGAAGAAAAATGACAGAGGCAATTCCATATGCAACCGTCCATATCAAAGGTAGCACAACATGGAGCCATGACAGAGGCAATCAAGGCTCCTCTCTTGTAGTCCTCCATGCTTGGGTATAACACTACTACAAAAAAGGAAAACCACGACGGGAATTCACCGTCGTGAATTCTGTTTTCAAATGGTCGTGGAATCCACCGACATCTTTTCCATAACAAAACCACGACGGTGAATAACCGTCGTTGTTAAAACAAAAAACGTCATCAAAAAATAAAAACCGACGTCTTTGTGCTGCAAAAACACATAAAAAACAGTCGAGGATAGGAATAGACGACCAACTCCAACAAAAAAAACGTCGTTAAAAAGGAAACAGATGACAAATATAAATACGACGTCTTTACAATCATAATAGACGACGTTATTGACACCTACTACGTCACAACATTTCCCACAACCGTCGTAAAATAAATTTTCCACTTCGATTTTTTTATGAATTATGACGTGGAAATAGATGTCAGG